TTACATTGAGATGTAATCCATACCAAAGGCTGTGCTCTTTGATCTTCATCAGTAAATGTTTTAAGTCTTCTTCACTTTCAGCAAGCAAGGTTGTAACTCCATTTAAGACCAGGTATATAACCACCTCCCCACTCTCCCTCCCACTCTGAGAGCACCTTGACTGGGGGATGGCAACACATACTGGTTACCCAGTAGCACAGATTAGTTTTCTTCTCTCTGAATCTGTCCCCTACACCATAGTCTTTTCCTTTTTTTGTTCCTTATTCTCTCTATATTTCCCTTGTTTTTAACACTTTTTTTGTTTTTCTTTTCTTTCTTCCTCCTCCTCTTTTTCTTCATATTTTTCCTTACTACTCTTTTACCTATTTTGCTTTTCTTTTCCCCCTCCCTACTTTTGCATATTGTTTTTCTGTAAATTTTATTTTCTCTTATTTTTATCTTCCCCTGTTCTAGTTTCCTTTCCTTTTCATCTTTTAAGCTATTATTTTTTTTATTGCTACTGCCTGACAAGTTTTTTTTAACATCTTTATTATTTTCTCTTGTACGTTTTTTTCTCTTGTAATTGTTTTTCTTCTTCTTGACCCACCCAAAAAGAGACAGTAACCATGGCCACACAATCACAACCATACACTCTGCAGTCTCAACCACAAATAAACAGCCGGTAAGCAACCCTCCTCTACTACCCAGCATCAGCCAAGCTTGCCCTGAACTTTGCTACACAAACAGCAACCAGAAAACAGTGTACACACTTCCATTCTCTACCATACACACCAGGAGGCAGATGGTGAGTGCCTAAGAACACCAGCATATAATCATCAATTAAATACAAACATAATGACATCACAGTGTCTCAGAAACAACAGATAATTTCCATTCACACAAAGAAAACAAGACAGAGTGGCTCAAAGAAGTGATTAAAATTCACAGGAAGAAAGGGTATTGGAATTATGCGATAAAGAATTCAAAAGAATGATACTTAGGTACCTTCATGGGACTGAACAAAACACTGAGAAAAGTGTACAACAAGGAGGGAATACAGAAAAATGTTAAAAGATTTCAGGAAACTCTATAACAAATGGACAAAATAAATGAAAAAAAAAGCTGGAGATAATTTTAAATTTGCAAACAGAAATCCAGAAAATTAATACTAAGATTTCAGAAATAAATAATACACTGAAAGGCAAAGGAGTAGATTTGAATCACTGAATGGTCAAATGAGTAATCCTGATGACAAATCTCTCAATACTAGCCTGCCCGACAATCAGAAAAAAAATAAGGGAAAATTCTGAAGAAAGCCTAAAATTTATGTGAGATGCCAAGAAAAGGTGTAACTTACATATAATGTAAGGAGCTCTGGTAGCGTAGTGGTTACGAATCGGGCTGCGAACCTTAAGGTCAGCGGTTCGAAACTACCAGCCGCTCCGCGGGAGAAAGATGAGGCTTTCTACTCCCGTAAGGATTTACACCCTCGGAAACCCTGTACAGGGTCGCTATGAGTCGGAACTGACTCGACGGCACTCAACAACAACAACACATATAATGTAATACCAAAAAAATGCACAGAGAAAACTGTCAAAGAGTTGTTAAGAAGAAAACTTTCCTGACATTATGAAAGATGAGAACATAAGCATTCAAGAAACTGAATGAATCACAAACAGGATAGTCACCTAGAGAAAATTATCGACACACACTATAATCAATTTTTTGAAAACCAAAAAGGAAAGTATCCTGAGAGAAGCTCGAGGGAAAAAAAAAAAAAATTACCTACAAATGAGAACCAGTAAGATTAAGTAAGAGATATCCTAGCAGAAACCATGCAGATAAGAAGGCAATGGGGAGACTGAAAGAAAAAAGTACCAACCAAGAATCATATGCCCAGAAAAATTGTTTCTCAAACTTGATAGTGAAATTAGAACATTTTCTGTATCTAGAATATATAAAGAACTCCCACAATTCAACAACAAAAACAATGCTATTAAAAATTGGGCAAAATAAGCATGTATCAAAAAAAAAAAAAGAATGAACAAGGTGCCAATAAGCACATAGAGAGATTTCTAATTAGGAATAGAAAAGTCAAAATTACAATGAGATATCACCTTACACCCAACAGATCACTGTTACTAGAAAGACAACAAAACAACTGCTAGCTAGGATGTGCAGAAATCAGAGATATCATCCATTTCTGATAAGATTGTAACATGGAACAAACAGCTACTAAGGAAAATAGTTTGATGGTTCCTCAAAAAGTTAAACATAGAACTACCATGTTATTGTTGTTAAGTGCTGTCAAGTCAGTTCTGACTCACAGCAACTCTGTCTAGGGATTCCAAGAAACGGCTGGTGGATGTGAAACACCAACCTTGTGGGTAGCAGTCCAACACTTGTTTATCATATATGACCCAGCAATTCCACTCCAAGGTATAGATCCAAAAGAATTGAAAGCAAAGACTTAAACAGATAATTTTACACCAATGTCCATTGCAGCGTTATTTGTAATACCCCAAAGGAAGAAACAACCTAAAAGAGCATCAACAGATTAATGAATGAACACAATGTGATTTATATAAAACAACCTGACTTCATCAAGTAGAGTTTCTGAGAATATAAAAATTTTGTTGTTGTTATGTGCCACTGAGTCAGCTCCAACTTATAGCAACCCTATGCACAATAGAACAAAACACTGACTGGTCTTGGACCATCTACACAATTGTTGATATGTCTGAGTCCACTGTTGCTCTTGCTGTGTCAACCCATCTTGTTGGGGTCTTTCTCTTTTTCGATGACCCTCCATTTTTCCAGGCATAATGTCCTTCTCCAGGAACTGGTTCATCCCTCCTGATGTGTCCAAAGAACGAAAGACAAAATTTTGCCATCCTCATATCTTTATAAGGTTTTCATTGGCTAACCATTCAGAAGTGGTCTGCCTCTCCTTCGAGTTTGTCTTAGACTGGAAGCTTCACTGAAACCTGTCCAACATGGGTGTCACAGCTAATATTTAAAATACACAGTTTCCAGCATCACAACAACACACAAGCCACCACAGTGTGACAAACTGATAGAAGAGTGGTGGTACATCTTTTGGGGAGCAAAGAACTTCTTCTTTCTCCTGAAGAGGTGCTAGTAGATTCAAACAGTTGACCTTGTGGTTATCAACTCAATGTGTAATGCATTATGTTACCATGGCTCCTTATTACAGAGTGAAATATTACTCAATCATAAAAAGAAATAAAGTCCTGATACATGATACAACATGTATTAGCCTTGATAACATTACAGTGATAAAATAAGTCAGAGACAAAAGACAAATATACTGTATGATCACATATATGAAATATCTAGAAAAGTCAAATGTGTAAATAGCATTAGCAGTTTAAAGGAGTAAGTAAGAGGGAAGCGGGGAAAAGGACTACTGTTGCTGCCATGGAGTCAATTCCAACTTGTGGCCATGCCCTATGTGTGCAAAGTGAACTTTTTCATAGCGTTTTCAAGGTGGAGGCCTTTCGGAAGTAGATTGCCTAGTCTTATTTCTAAGGAAATTCTAGGTGGGTCTTAACCACTAACCTTTCAATTAGCATTCTGGCACTTAACCATTTGCATCCAGGGACTCCATATATGCTTACACATGCAAAACATTGGCAAAACTATAGAGACACTACTAAATTCAGATATTTTACTTGGGATAATATCTTTTAAAAATAAAGAATCCTGAAATTACTATACAGTACTGGTTCAAGTACAAAATACATTAATATAATATTTTAGCTACATTCTTTGTAATTCTTTCTTTGCAATTAGAGCAAGACAACCAAGATTCACAGGACTGGTATTAATCAGCTGTGAAACTTGGGCAAATACCTTTACTATCTGAGTCTCAGAATTTGCATGTGTAAATTGAGGGTAAAAACACTTATTTCTTTGATTATTGGGAAGATTAAACCACAAAATATAACTGAACAGAAAGCATTCAGTAGACACAAAGAAGAATGTCCTACATAACAACTCCAGACCTATAAGCACTTGCTCTCAAGCAACATTTTCTACCTTATCTAGCAATAATATCTGTAGAGTTCTTAGCTTTATTAATACTTACCTGCAAGATTGTCAAGCATGAAGTTCAGTAGCTTTCGGGTTCCATCTGGGTCCTGGTATAAGTTGAGAATATCCTGTGACAAAGGATTGCCTATAGCAAACGACAATCATAAAAATTGTTTATTAGAATTAAAACACTAAATTTATAAATTGGGTTTCACTGGATCTAATCAGTTACATAAAGAAATTATATAAATTTCTTTATAAACACAGTTTAAACCACAAAAAAGAAAAAGCACTTCAAAAGAGTTAAATTGTTTATACTGTGCACCTAAAATTATTTATAAAATTTGGGTTTCTAAAGCTCAAACACACATATTAATCATGGATACCACAAAAGAATTATGATCTGAATCCTTGAGGCAACCCTATTAATTGTACATTTCATCTTAAAGACAAAGGATTCTAACTGAAAAATAAACTGTCCTATATAGGAAAGAATATATGAGATTTTCTAAAGGGTAGAGATCTCATGAAGTATTTACATTACAATGAATGAGGGTAAAGAAACTATTTCAAGCAAGAAGAAAACCTGCTACCGACATGAATCACTGAAATGTGTGAGAGAAATAGGAATATTGTATGCTAGTGATCAGAGATATCTGAAACTGAAAATTACAAATTAATCATCAAAACCAAACAACAAGGTTAACAGACTTTCTATTCCTTTAAAAAATAAAGATAGTTTATTAAGATAAATATGTAAGAGGCAGATTGGGGAGGGGGGAATGAAACTGATAGATGTGTGAGGGTTCTAATTATTAAAACAAACTATAGTGCTATAGACACACATCTGAATGGCTAAAAAATTTAAAAAATTTCTCACCAACCAAATGTTTGAAAGACTGTGCAGTGTCTGACCTCTCATACTCAGCTGGTAGAAGTGTAAAAAGGTACAACTACTTTGCAAATAGTTCTGAAATCATACTGTTGTCCAAAGGGTCAATAAGCCATCAGAAAAAACTCAACAGCACTTAACAAGAACATATTTTGCAAATCTGTCTGAGTTTAATCTAACTAGAAGTTGGAAAAAAGAAACTTCCTGAGGGGAACAGAAAAAATTCTATGTGACTACCACACAGGTATACCTTTGTCAAAATTCATCAGATTGAATACCATATGGATATTTTACTGTGTGTGTGTTTATAAATAAATAAAGATAAAAGACACTTCAAGATTAAAAATAATGCATACCAGTATAAAAAGACACTGGAGAGGCAGACAAAGGAATAGCCAGAAATATCACCATAGAAAGCTTGTAGGTCCGTCTTCTGCCTATAACTGATTGTAATACCTAAAATGGGCTACAATGTGCCCAGTGAAGGAGGCTTCCTGTGGAGCCTCTGCATTACATAAGACTATACGTGGAATCCTGAACAGCATCCAGAATCTTCAGAGGTGGGAAATTTCTACTTGAAAGGACGGGAAGACAAGCCTGGAGTGGCTAGAAGAACAAGAGATACTTCTTAAAAGAAAGACCGACAGGAAAAATACCAACAATATAATCAGGCAGACTGATTACTACAAGAACAAGCAAGTTGCTCAGGAGAGATCAAGGCAAGTGGTCGGGTCCCCTGAGAGCAAACCCCCTTCTAAGACTAAGACACGCTCTGCTTGGTGACCATGTTTATCACCGATAAGGGGAAGTGAGGGAAAAACAGCAATGAAGCTGTGAGCTAAGTAAGTCCTACAATGTTCAATAGACTCCTGTGAACCCGACTGGAGATCTAGTTGGCCAGCAGTGTGGCAAGACCTGGGGACTCTTAGGCCCAGAGTCAGTGACATAGCCACAGAGGAACAGAGCGGAGAGTGAAGCGTCCAGCTGATATGAAGAGAGGGTATATGCGCAAGAACACCCACACTTGCAAATAATACCCACTTGACCAGGCTTCAATGACTGGATGATCAGAGTGCAACCAGAAGAAGAAAGAAGAGGAAAAAAAGAGTAATCTGATATAATTTGATGAACTTGACCCACACCTATGGATGCAATACCTTAAAAGAGGAAACAAATCTTTACAGCAAGGATCATTCCCATCCTCTCCATACACAGAGTAGACAGGGATAGGCAACTTGGACACTGGCTACCCAAAATGAGGATGGCTAAAAAGGCAAGAAGTGACTGGCTTACAAGCTTTCAAGAGGGAACCTAGATCCAGAGAGCATTGGAGGAAGGTAGAATCTCCACTGAGTAGTATCCAATCTGTCTGGTGGGGCTGATGAAATGAAATGCGGCTAGGTCTCTTGTGATACAATAGTGAATAATTGTTATCAGGACTGATTGTGAGGTTTGGAAATGTACAGGTAGACTTTTTTTTAGCAAGGAGGGGAGTGATTAACTTTTCAGTCTAGGAGCAGAGGTCCCTGGGACCATCAAGACAAAGGAGAGGAGAGCGGGACCCTACCTACAGAATCAGTGATGCCTGAGATGAAGGCAGAGATGATGATGTGCAGAGATGGAGCAGCTGGGGACTTGAGACACAGAGAGGGAGTGGGGCTGTGTGCTGACGACGAGGGGGCAGGTTTGTACTGTATACCCTTTGGTTGGTGATGATGCATGGAAGGATTGTAACCATGGCAATGAAACGAGATAGGATGAATGTAAAAATAATGTTATCCCATGTAAACTATCACATAATTCACAATAAAACATTTAAAAAAAGATGCAAAAAAAGTATATTCCAAAATACATCACTAAGAGACAGAAAATGTAAGACATTAGAAAATACGGGAGATAGAATATGAAAACTTAAAACTAAATTAGGTTTTACAAAGCACTGAAAGAGGGAATAATTGAGAAGATTCATTATTTGAAGACAAAAAGGTGGCAAACTTTGAAAAACTAATTTTAAAACTAAATAAATTTATAAGCACAATGTATATAAAGTAGAGGATAAGTAAAAAATTATCCACAATCTGGCTACAGAATTCATTTTAGTCAACATTTAGAAAAGACAAATGAGTAATTTTTCAACATAATCGCCTTGCTTTTCAATACATCTTGTCTATCCGTCAACAAGCTTTCATATTCCCTTATTTAAAAACGTTTTAGGATGAGCTGAGAGCCACGAATTCACCACTGTCTTCATTTCATTGCTTCACCAGACATGAATCTTTATTCATGAAGGACTGCTTTCAGGAACCAAAGAGGTGAAAGCCTGAAAAAGCGTATCAGGACAATAATAAGGATGCTTCAACACCTCAAAACAAAGCTTTTACAGTGTGTAAACACTGTAAGCAGAGGTGTGCAAAAATGCACTGTCATGAAAGATCAAATACAATCTTCTGCATTTTATACCAAGTTTAGGTTTCAGTTTTCAGTGAGCATTTCACTGTAATGAGCACTGTAGATTGTTGAACCTTTTTCCTGATAGTATTCAAATACTGACTCCCTTTAGAATCACAGAAAACTGTAAGCATGAATTTTCCAGCTGATGGTTGATTTTTAAACTTTTTCTGGGTCAATGATTGAGGATTGTTTTTATTCCATACTCTGCCATTTACTTTCAGGCTAGTAGTGGTAAATTAATACAAGTAAGTTAGAAGAATTATCAGAAAAAAGTATGAAAAATACAAAGAAAGTCTAAGATTCATTTGGGACAACATGAAGAGGAATAACCTACAGGTTATAGGAATTCAATAAGAGGACTAGGCAAAGAAAACTACAGAAAAGATATTCAAAGAGCAGCTGTAATAAAATGTACGTATAATGAAAGATAAGAAGATAATGAATTCAAAAACCTGAATGGACCCAGGCAGAAAAGATCCCAAAAAGAAAATCGCCAAGACATTTCATGATCAAACTCTATAAAATCAAAGACAAGGAAACAATCCTGAAAGCATCTCAGGAAAAAACAAAATGTTATCTACAAAGGAAAACCAATAAAATTAAGCTATGATTTCTCAGCAGAAATCATGCAGAAAAGAAGGTAATGGTAGACATATACAAAACTCTGAAAGAAAAACAAAACAAACAAACAAAAACTGATAAACAGAATCATGTAACCAGAAAAGTTGTCAATCATATATAAGTGATATTAGAACATTTATGAATGAACAGAAATTACAGGACTCTGCAAAAATCAAGCCAACTGTCCAAAATATAGGAAAAGGAATTCTTTCGTCTGAGAACCAAAAAGAGCAGATACCTACCAGAGAGTTACACATGTGGCAACGCCACACAGAATTCAGTCCAAATATGGAAGTATCTAGAGTAGAACAAAACAGGTAAGCCTGAAATTAGGAAATCTGAGATGTTAACCTATGATCAGAAAAACTATAAAGTGAATGGATGGAAAAGTATAGTTACAGACTTTCAGGGTGGGAGGAGATCAGGTAGATTTCAAGGTAAAATAGACTGTTTTTAAAATGGGGAAGAAATTATAAAGTACAGGGTAATCTCAAAAAGCAACTTAGTAAATTTTCATATGAAATTAAGAAAAGGAAAATCCATGAAGACTTTGAAACATTAAAACTATCAAGAAATCAACAGGAAAAAGCACCCAAAAAATGAACTCAGCATAGGAAAGTATTACAGATAAAAGAAACCAGCAGCACCGCAAAAAAATCAAAAGGTAAAATGACTGCAAACACTCACCCAAAAGATGAAATGCTTAAGAATAAATGTAACTAGAGAAACAAAAGAACTATACTAAGAAAACTACACAATACTATTACCCATTAAAAAATAACTTACAAAATTAAAGAATATAATATACTCACAGACAAGAAGGATCAATATTGTGAAAGTGTTAACACTACCAAAAACAACCTATAGATATAATGCAATCAATCCCAGTAAGCATAGTCCATGGCAGTTGACCCAGACATAGTGGGATTAGGAAGCAAGGATTTTAAAACAAGCATTATTAACATGTATGTACGGTCAACAATGTAACAAAAACAAAAACAGACATATGGAGGGCAAAAAAGAAGCAAACTGAACAAAATGGCACTGGAATAAATCTGCCCTGCAGATTTCCAGATAATTTCTAAAAGGAACTCCTCCTTCAAAGAGGTGGTATGTACATCCCATCCCACTCTTTAACTGTGACTTCCTTTCCAAGAAAGCAGTATGAGAAGGAAGAAAAA